TTATTGGTTTAATGTAAGTGGCTATTGTTCGGGACGAACAATACTAATGAAGTAGCAGTGTTACGACAGTGGAGGTCACGTGACGCTAGTAACACGCCACGCGCTTCTAGAACGTAGTCGGGAGACTACTACATATGGGGTAGTCTTGTATATATATATGAGACCGGCCAAGAAGCGACGGAAACAATGTGTTATTGAACTGCGGACAGAGTATTGTTGAGTCGAGCACGTGAGACGTTCGTTGTGAATTATAGCGTTTGTTATAGCGCGACTGTTGAAATTAAGTGTATCGCAAAGTTGTATTCAGAAAGAATAAATCAGTTTTATTTAAGAAAGGACTTGTTTCGCTAAAGTTTCGTCGGAACGAAATTTACGGAAAATTAACTAACGAACAGAGACGTAACAATATGGATATTTCACTTCTTGGTGGTACAATGATCACCACTCTTATTGTCACTGGAAATTCAACTTCTCGTACATTAATTGCCATGAAGAGCAAAGGATTTTTTCTGTCTAACCTCAGTATGTACTTTTCCTCAGTATTAGTTAGTCACATATTATGTGATGTAGAGAAGTTTTATACCGTAAGGGTAACCTTTAATTTTTTCATGTCAAAATTTTATCTCCATTTGCTGTTTGCACCACTCCATCTTTATTCTTAATTTCTGGAGGCAATTTCTCACCTTACATTAGCAAATTAGGTGGAAAAATTGTAGCAGTAGAACATACTGCAAGACATTCCATCACTAAATAGTAGACTCGTAAATGATTTTCCTCAAACAATGAGCTTCTTATCTTATTTGGGGTGTATATATATTATTCCCAGCTGAGCTTTGTTCCATAAGTCCAGCTAGTTTCTATTTTTAAAATATTGTTAGCTCTTTGTTGTTCCATTGATCTGTTTCAGCTTTGAGATACATCTTCATGTTATTGACTCCTCATCTTAATAACGACTATTGATATCTTACAATCTCGCCTGGAACGGCTCTATTTCCTAAACTTATAACAGTTTCCTTTTTTTTTGGTATCCTTTGGAAGAAGTTCTTATTTCATACAGGCTATAATTTGCAGTTCTTTGCAATATGTCCTTTCAAGTAACATTTAAAACACCTGTGTTCTTGTGATCTATTTCCTCTATTCTGTTTAACTAATCCTTTTAGTTTTGTTTCAGAATCTAGACCATCATCAGAGCGAATGGGTGTTTCAATATTACAGG